TGTGTGTGTGTGTGTGTGTGTGTGTGTGTGTGTGTGTGTGTGTGTGTGTGTGTGTGTGTGTGAGACAAGGCGTCTCTGCATAGTAAAGCCCGCCTCGGCCTGTCCCTGCTCCACTCGGAGAACTGGTTGTGTTTGCATTGAGCAGAGAGCTGCCTCGATGTGGGCAGGATCATAACATTAAACACATGCAAATCTTATTTTGTTTTATTTGTGAAAAAACAATAAACTACACCAAACCTGAAGGAAAAGTACTGAATATTGAACTGGAGCATCCAGCAGTGACACGCTTAAGACGAGAGGGCAGGATGACAGAGAATGGTAAGCTAATGCTAGCTTTTTGTTAGCTTGATGTTGTTGTGTTTTGGTGTAGACTTTGTTTGTCCAAGAAGTGTATGACGCATTGTTTAATGAAACATTCATAAAACTTCATAAAATGTCTGGATAGCTTGCAAAACAGGAGCTGCTTAGTTGGAGTGACTGACTTGGAGAATAAAAGTGGAAGTAACAAKCAGTGAAATGTTTGCAGAGATCTTCTCTATAGCTTGCCTAAGCTATATTCTCAGTTATTTCTGTCAGCTCCTGACAGAAAAAAAATATTTGTGTGCATGAATAAAAGTATATATTAAACATTTTACAGCAATCTGAGCAGATTTACCTTTATTAGCATCAACTGAAGCTACTGGAGTCAGAGGTTTTGCAGGCTCCTTCATGGCCTTCTGGGCATGCTCAGATTTGGGGAGCTGTGACGTGTCTGGCAGGGCGGGCTCCRTGGTGGGAGGGGGCGCGTCCTCGGCTGAAACGGACGCAGTCTCATTGGCCATGGAGCGYGTGATGACTCTTCGATTACGGCGGCCCTGGCTGTTGGCAGTCTTCCTGCCACGCGGCGTGCTTTGCTCCTTTCCGTCCTCGTCCTCCCCGCCGTCACACTTGTCTTTCTCCTTGCCAATCTCCCTGTGGTTTTGGACGGAGGGGAAAACACAGCTTTTAGCTGCTGCTACAGCAAATATCTATTCCCCGATGATGCAGCAGTAAGAGGCTGTCCTTGTTTTCTGCTCTTTTTTCCAACTYACTCAAAACAAGAAAAGCATATTAGCGATGGCTTGTGCTCAGTCTGGACAGACATAACAAGTTTGCAAATTGTTGACTTGCTAAGYGACATTATTGATGTCACTTAGGGAACTCGTTTGCTTTTTTATTATTTTTTGGAGGTCAACGCATAAATTTCAGCTATTTCTTCAATAAAGCTTTTGTAATTCAAACTTATTTCTTAAAATATTTTAAAAAAATAACAAAAAAAATCTTCACAAGTAGTCAGTACTACTCGTAAAGCCATCTCTGATCCTGTAACCCTGGGGTCATCAACAAGGATCAGAGGCCAGGAGTTTTCTAAGCAGGCAGTTCTGGAGTCAACCTTTAATTAGTTAGCCATGCTTTTGCTAACTCTGTGCTGTCTGTTTCATTTWTTTCTGCTGCCATAAACAATTACATTTGTCGGAGATTCAACTCGTTATACAACTTCTTTTTGAATAAAATGTTCTGTTTGTAATTTTACATGTTATTTATTGTRCATGATTATTAAATAAAGAGAAAATGTTTTTTATGACACGGCTCTAGAATAAGTTTTTGCACTGGTGCACCTAACCTTWTTCCTTAGGTGCACCAGCACAAGAGTTAGGTGCATCTAAATTTGCAAACGCATTGCATTTAACATCGAAGTTTCACAGATTCAGCATGTAATTTTACTGATTGCTCCGATTCTACGGATCGGGTCCATTGTCACAGATGCTTGAACTAGAATTTTTTTATATATATATTGGGACAAATGCCAATATTATATCGGATCGGTCCATCTCTAGTCATTAACCATGTTTGAGCTTGGCTACAACTGACTCGTGTATCAAACTGTGTGTAATTTATTAATTTGATACTTGGCAGGCAAAATATGACCTATAGGCCGCCAACTAAAGATTACTGCTCTAATTTAACCAATTAGACTTTGAGTCTAGTGACTAATAATTAGACAACAGATTAACTTAACTAATTATGCAAGTGGCTAAATTCACCATTATCATCATCATCAGACAATATTGGGCAAATCTTATAAGAAACCAAGCTAAGGAGATGGTACAGAGCTAACTTGATTAAACACAGTTAAAGTTGTCTTTTACATTTGTCCGTTCATTTTCTGGCTCAAGAGTTCAAACTCTTATAAAAGGACAGTGATCAGATTACACTCTGACCACAGAGAGCAGGGAGCTTAACCTGCAGGGTGACATCAGGCCAAAATGCAAACAGAACTCACCTCGAGTCCTCCTTTTCATCTTTCTCGTCCTCCTCCTTCTTTTCTTCGTCCTCGTTTTTCTCGGCCTTCTCCAATTTCTCCTCTTCGTTTTTGTCTTCTGACTTGTCTTCTTGTAAGAGACGTGTTGTTTGCTGAAGAGGAAACACAAAAGGTGGAAAAAACATTAGAAAACCAAACAAAAAAGATTTTAAAATATCAGTGAGCAGGTTACGTCTTGGTAGCTTTAAGTTAGCGTACATCCAAAACAACAAGCGATGCAACTTCTTTACCTATTTTTGTTTTTTGCTGAAATATAATTAAAGAATTGATGGTTTTTCATTCATCCTGATATAGCTCTGTAGATATGTTCCAATATATTCTGAGATTATATGTCATCCAGCTTTTAAACACCTCTACTACCTAATATTATGTCTATGAGTCTGATTGGATCATTTCAGTGTTTCACCTGCCAATATGACAGAAAAATGCTCAAAATAAAAATAAAAATAAATTTTAATTTAGTAATGACACCTATGGTGAACCTTACAATAAATATTGTTGGCTAGCTCTAAGGAGGATTAAATGTATACATTTCTCAGTCTCAGTAAAATCACTTCCTTTAGAGCAATTTAAGAGAGAAGTATAATTTTAAATGAATTTTAAGAAGTAAACAGAGAGAGGCTAAGGAGTAAGCAACATCGAGGCTGGCGTGGTCCACCACAGAAAGCGTCCTCCCGACTGTTTCATGAAAGCGCTGCGCTGGAACAAGCCCCGCTATGCCAAGCCAAACATCCCATGCTGGTACCAGATGGGGCCCAGGAATGTGCTTTACTCAATGGTTAAAGGCGGGAGGAGATGAAACGAGGAGAAGACAAGACAGATAGGGGAACAAACTGACACAAACACATAAAAAAACGGGATGTGGCTGCATGTCTACAACAACATGAAGTGTTTGTCTCATTCTGTAGTTCAGTCTGCAGGATGTGGCTCTCAGAAAGGAGCTGAAGAATCATTTACTTCACATTTAAGCCTATTTATAAGAATTAGAAGGTTTTATTTCTAATTCACATGGACATATCCAGAGAACCACTAAAATAATTATCCTGTTGGAACAAAAACATTATGAAAGCAAACTATCATCAGATAACAGAGGCTTCAGCTGCACCTATAAGACTAACCGTTTTCTCTTATTCATATAACTCAATGCATCAAACACAAGAAAAAGGATAAAAATGAACTTTTAATGCTCGCCATCAAAGGTGAAAGAGCAATAATGTTTGAGCTTATGTTCGTTTGTAGTTTGAAAAAAATGGATTTTAAAGAAACTTTCAGAACATAATCGCTGAATGTTTGACTGCAACTAAATAAAGTTGAGAGTCAACACAAATCAAGATGGTTGCCGCATCTAAGCAAACTTAGCTGACATGAAAAATAGCCAAAACAATGCAATACTGAAGCCCCGATTATTATATTCTTTAAGGTTACCTGGGAATCGTGTAAAAATGTGAATATTGGATGCAGTCCAGAAAAAGCCTACGTGGCATTAATGCAGTCAGAACCAAACAAAAACACACAAGAGCTAAACAGTTAGCAGCTACATGCCATGCAGTACCACAAAGTAACCTCTGGGTGGAGCGTGGGCACAGGGCATGTTCCACGTACTTTACTGTGTTTTTTTTATACGGAACTGAATTTACGTTAATGTTTATGCTACAAAATTTGCAAATCATATTGTTCTTAATAATTTAGCTCGAAAACTTACAAAAAAAGCATGAGAGAAAAAAACATGTACTGTAAAAGTATGTCTGCAAAATTACGGGGATTACCACAAACTTCTACTAGCTGGGAAAAAACAAGTCTGAGTCTACAAACTGTGGAACACAACTTTGCAGAGCTTCAAAGCATCTGTTGAAAAAAAGAATTGCATTGCTTATTAAAATAAACTTTGTCTGCTAGGAAAATATCCCCTGAACCACTAGATGAATTATAATGCAAACTTCAGAAAGTAATCATTGGGCAAACATCCACAATTCTTTGTGCAACATTATGAAGGTGCGGTCCTAAAATACTAAAGAACCCTTTTCTTAGAATAATCCTGTTGGACTACATTTAAAGGAAGTAAATGCTAAAAAATAAATAAAAAAAGAATATCCCTCTCATGCTACTCCCTATCCTTATCAGTCTGCAAACCAAGTCTTAAGCCTTGTACATATTTCATTTAATTTCTTGGTAATTTGTTTATTTGGTTAAGGAGAACAGCCAGTTTCTGTAGAGTTGTTCTCCACCATACATGTCCTTCAGTGGGATGCTGTTCTGGCCGGGGCAGGGAGCGCTCATGTTTGCTTTGGAGTGCGTCAGATCCAGAGAGCCGCTGCATTCCTACATCTTCTCCCACAAGGCGTAAAGAGCCTCCACAGAGATGTTCTCCGAAAGTCAATGAAGCCCTCTGTGGTCCCTCTCTGTTTTTAAAACCAACTTCTAGCCTGACCGGTCTTTTAAAGAGTTTTAATTTCTGCCCTCTTTCGCTGATTCACAAGTTCTGTTTGAGTTAGGAAATGACAGAACCACAAGTCAATCTTTCATTTCCTACCATACAATTTAAGATACCAGGAAATAAAATTTCTAACTACAAGTATTTCTACTGCAGGAACAGGAAATAAATGAATTTATTACGATCAAGTGTCACTTCTATTCTAGCAGGGTTTTGTTTTTAATTGCAAAAATCATGCAAATATTCAAAAAGTAAATTCATAAAAAATATTTTTTTAAAAAGTTACACAAAAGGCCATGTGCAGCTGATGACTAAGTGGAACAATTTACTGTCAGAAATGGCTGAGCATGATAAAAAACTGCTGTTACTATGGTAGCTGAGGGCTCTGCACTGAGAAACTATAAATCAGTGAGAACTGTCAGCAAATGAGAAAGAGGCTCACGATTAACACTTTGAATCTCTCTGCTTCCTAAAGGAATCCTTAAAGACAAAGAGTAAACTAAAACCTGATATTAACAGTGACAGGGATTAAACTCTTAGCTGGGTCTAAAGCAGTGCTCTTAGTTTGTATGCTGTTTCCTCACCAAGTCTCTTTTTTATTAGTTAGTTTTCAATTATTAACAATGTATGCCTCATGTCTCGTCAGCTTTCTTAAAACCCATTTCAACTTCTGAAAATAATGTGCTACAATGTGTATAAGTCTCATTAACGTGTGCATATAACACATTGCAAGGATGAAAATTTAAGTGCATAAGCAGATCCCTGTATGCCCTGTAACTACGTTCCTTTAGTCTGCATGCTATTCTTTAAACGTGCGAAACACAAAGCAGAATGAATCTTGGCACCAATAACTAAGTTTGAAACTCTGCTTTAATAATTAAACCCAACACCCACATCACACAGCCCCATTAGAGAGTCCTTGTAGGTGTTGTTGCTGTTGTTTTCAAGTTTCAGAACACAAGTGGTGTAGCTGCGCTGACTATTGGCCAAGCGTTGAGAAATCACAGTGACTGGTGTTGCAAAAGCAAACATGTATTAGGTCTGTAGCTCCATAGTTGGACTTAAGGTCCTTATAATCCTCAGAGTCCATATAACTTATTCAAAAATACCTATTGCTAATTTAAACGGTTCTCTTTGATGTGCTGACCATTTCTTCTCGGTCATTACTTCACTTGGTGGCACAGAGGTGTGCCAGTAGGTTGACTGCGACTAACCCATGCCGTGGGTTGGTCACCATGCTGAAATTATACATGTCAACCCCTTAGGCTCTGAAGCCTAGAGACCGGCAGGCGGATTGGTGCTGCKTCTGCAGTGATGCGGGCGCTGTACCGGTCTGTCGTAGTGAAGCGGGAGCTGAGCCAGAAGGCAAAGCTCTCAGTTTACTGGTCGGTCTACGTTCCTACCCTCATCTATGGTCACGAACTTTGGAAAGGGTGATCTGAACTAGCAGCACTCCGACATCTTGGTACTATTGTTCATCTACTTGAGCAAGTGCAGAAGAAGTACTGACTGCAGCCATCTGTATTGCGCATGTGGGATTTCACACTGATGCTGGTTGTTTCCAAAAACGTCCGTTTCAGTGTCAGAGAAAACATCCGCTCTTGTTGTGTACATAAACGGCTGAAGTGCAACAAAAATGCTAAAGTTTTACTCTAAAATGTTGTATAAACAAAGCCTGCAATGTCTTCTGGCTGTTTCAATGTGAATAATACGTGTAAAATCAAACAGATTGTTTGTGAATTGCACCTATTCCACCCCCCCCCAACC